TTTACATTATGTTAGCTCTTCCTCGTTTTACCGTCTATTTTAAGCATATAGAACGTCTTCCAATCACCAAAATTAATTGATTTTTTAGTTTTTTAGTCAAGTAATGCTGAACGCCAAAAACGATTTCGTGCTAAAAAAGGAGCATTAAGTAATAGATCAACTCAAAGAAGCTTTCATCAACCACGAACTACTGCTGAACGTCAAAGATTATACAAAGCAAATAAGAAATTACGACTAAAAAATACAGAAACTCAAGAAGAAGAGTTTACACAAACCCAAGCAGAGCAATATGTACAACATCTCGTTAAAGAATGTTAAATGTTGCAAATAAAAGATATTTTACATTCAAAAGGAAATTAAATTAAATTTTACCATTTTTCTTCCTTTACTTTCTATTCAAAAACGCTCTATTTTGTAGAGTTTCACTTAAAAATAGTGACGATCTGGAGGACTTTTACGCGAAAAATTACAAGATAAATTTATAGCTTTGTGAAAAATATACAAAAACTTTTTTCAGTGTCTAATTCGAGACAAAAACGAAAATAAATTCCTCCCCTTTTCCCCGAAAACCATTGAGGTTTTCTCCAAAACCGATCACACAACTAAAAGTTTCTAATCGCAAACGCAAAAAAAAACATTTTTTCTGATGATTTTCTTCGTTTCTGATAATAATGGGGTCGTTTCAGCCAAAAATGTCAAAATCAATTTTGCTAGAAAATTGTATCTCATTCATCGCTTTGCTGGAAATTTTCGAAAACCCTTTTCAGCTTCGAATTTGACACAAAAACCAAATAATTATTCAGTTTTTTACCGAAAAAACGATCAGAGCAAAAGTTTACAAAAAATTATTTGGAAAATTCACCGCCCTCACCGCTTTGAAGATTTTTAAAGTTCCTTTAAATTTTTAGGCCATTCCAGTTTCAACAAAGTTGCTATTAAGCAATTCTTTCTACTCAAAAACCGCATTATTATTTAGTTAAAAATAAATTTTCAGGTATTTTCTGTGAAAAACTATAAGATACATTTTATTGAAACACTCGCCTTCTTAACCGCTTTGCAAAAATGTTTGGACAACTTTTTGCAGCTTCGAATTATGCACAAAACCCTAATAACCATTTGGAGGCCTTTTTCCAAAAATATCATTTATTCGAAAAACTCTTGAAAACTGGAGTTCCTTCACTTTTAGGTCAAAATTTCTAAACAACACTGTCTCTAAACAGAAAACCCGCGTTTTTCCTAACGTTTTCCTGTAAAATACTGGCAAACTGATTCTTTTATGCAAAAAATTAAGAGATCGATTTCACAAGAAAACTCGTCGACTTGCAGTTCAACGTTGCAACGCAGTTCTGTTGCTGGGAAAATCTAGATGACTTTTTTTTAGTTGTTTGAACAAAGTAGTAAAACGTTACTCAGAAGAAATATCAATGACCCTTTTTTAGATGTGAACCTTTAATAAATCACTTATAACTCATGAACCGATGAGTTAATTCAGAGAGCAGCAACAACTCGGTATAGTTGCCAATATGCGTGAAGTTATGACCGAGATATTAGCGGTAATGTGCGGAAAAGTCACTCAAAATTACCTCAAAAGGATGGAGACCCGTAGGAGGTCCCGTGGAGGACATGTAAATGATATTGTTTTTCACGTGTAATGGTCAGGTTTAATGTTTAAACTGGAAGAAAACTTTCGTCCCCATCTGAATATTTTCTTTGCTGTTTTGTACTTTGCTTCCCAAGCATAAAATGTTTGAAAAAACCGGGTATTTTTCTTTGAAATGTACAGATGGTGCGCAAATTTTGCCCATCAGTGTAGTCAAATCGTGCAATACATACTCAAGTGCAACTAAACTCTAAAAGTAACAAGCTAATGCGCCGGCAAAAAAGAGTGGCTGCTCTTAATGAGCTGCTTGACCTCAGCCAACTCCTGCAGCAAACTCCCAATCTGGTCGGTTTGCTGGTCGACTTTAATCAGCAACGCGTTGAAACAGGCGTCTTTGTGCCTCGATTGCTCCAGCCTGTGCTGCTTCAAGCTGCCACTCACCGCCCTCCTCCAAGGCCCGCCTGCACTCCTACTGAAGATGTTGATCCTCTCCGTGTCTCGCTTCTTGGCCAAATCGTAGGCCGCCTGGATGACTTCCTTGGGGATTGGAGTGTCCATCGGATCCAGAGGTTTCACCCTTAACACTGGCACGTAGGGTTTAGGTACCACTCGAAGCAAGGCCATGATGCTCCTAGCAAAGCGCCCGCGCTTGTAGTGGGACATTTCGATGTAGGAGCACATTTTCGCCTGGCGCACCAGCCTGGATAGATCCGCGTTCTTCTGCAGGCCCTGGATGTCATGGACGGCGATCCCAACCAGAAGATTCATCAGGATGATGGTGATAAAGAGCAGGAAGAAGGTGTAGGCGATCTGCGAGCTGATCATCGCAAAGTCTGAGGAGTTATCGCGGCTGGAGTATTCCAGGAGGAGGTCGTAGTTCATGTCCCCAGTCATCATAACCAGGGCGGAGATAATGCCGGTGAAGGGATTGTGGAACGCCGCCGAATTGGGGAAGATTATGCAAAATCCTATGGTAAACCCGACCAGAAACGGGAAAAAGACCAGGAGCAACTTTTGAAATTCGCTCTGGACCTTCTGGAACATCTCCACATAGGGACCGAAAACGGGCAGTTGCCCCAGCAAATACATTATGTTAGTCCAGGAGCACATGACGGCAAAAGCCCCTGCGTGGACCTGCCAACTCTCCACTCGGCCAGTGTAAACAAAGGAGATGATAAACACGTAGATGATACCGGTCCACTCCAGAACGTTGCCCCAATTGGTGCAGTACTGCTTTAGAGAGGGGTACCCATGGAACCCATACACTTTCCTGTAGGCCAAGGAGAGGGTGAAGTAGAGCAGGATGTACCATTGGGTTTGCAAGCTCAAAGGGCCCGAGCGAAGGAAGGCGTTCAAATAGGAGCGATTGGAGCAGTGGACTGTGGTGTTCGCTAGGCGAGGATCGTGGATTTTGCGGTCGCAATCGTACGCCAACGAGGTCAAGACGTAGAAGAGCAAAATTAGACTGAACACCAAGGAGTTGTAGATCATGCCATAATAACACCGGCGCATCCGAGCCCACGTTACATACAAGAAGGCCGTAATGTAGGGGTGCAACAGCATCTCTTTATGTCCGGCATCGATGAACGCGTTCAATATCGTATACTCGTTCGGATGGTGAAACCCATTCTTGAAGTCAAAGCACATCTCCACCTCATTAAGAGCAACCGACTGGCTCGTTAAGTTGATGTACTCGGTCAGTTTGTCCTTGATAGCCTCAAAAGCAGTGGGAGTTTTCTTGGCAATCAGGGAAAAGGCCGAGATCCCCGAGTTGGACTTGAGCGAGTAGTCAGCGCCGTTGCTGATCAAAATGCTGGCGCAATTGGACAGCTCGTTCAACGCAGCAATGTGCAGAGGCGTAAAGCCATGCTGGTCTTGAACGTTCACAAGGGCCCCACATCTGAAACATCATCATTCATCAGACTGTGAAGCCGTGGTCCATGGGAATTTCTTCCTGACGTTTCGTCCACAACTGCGCTGGACATTATCAAAGGCGAGGAGGCAGTGGGCGAAGTGGTCTCCCGTGCTTACCGACTAAGACTGGTTCAAATACTTGATGTTTTAAACAGACGTAGCCATTCAAGGCTTTTTGTCTTTACTGGAAGCCTGCAACTTCCGTGCCGTATAGCGTGAATAAATAAATAATAATGATACGAGTATTACCCGATACTAACCAGAGAGGCCATTGAGATATTTAAACATCACAACAATTTAAATAGTAAAGAAGAGGTAACGGCCCTTAATCCAGATTGGAAACGCGTTTTGCGGCAAACAGCGTGTGCGCCAAAACATTTGAAGCCCCGCCCACTCCCCACGCATGAGCACAGGGCCGCGCCGCATAAATACGACAGGGGATCCAGTAGTTGAACCAGTCTTAGTAGTAGACACAGTGGAGATAGAAAAAATGAATTACTCGAACAGGAACATTTACGAAAGGCTCTCGCAGAAAGTACTAAGTAACTCTTGGTCTCTCTTGAGAATTCTCCTGGACCGGTTATCACATACTCAGTTACTATAAATTCAAATTTAAAATTAGAAACTTACTTATTTGAACAGCAAATTTTCTTGCAGGTTGACAAATTTAAATCTCCATTTGTTTTGAACGACATCAACATTTCATCTAGTTTAATAGAAGAAATTAATAATGTAACAGTTAACAAAAGTGACGAGTCAACTATTAAACAAAACCAAACGTACCAACGCAGCATAAATCACATTTGTAACATTTAAAAAAATTTGAAT